GAGCCTGGTCACATTTTGTGTCAGAATTGTAAGTGCAGGGGCAAAAAGGGGGAAGGAAGGAAGCATTACCATTTAATTTTTCTCTCTGGTTTCTTTTTTTTCTTGGCAGGGGGAGAGATTGAAGGTTATTTTCCAGGAAGGTACAAGTCTAATAAGCCAAGACTGTTTTTCTTAAATAATTGTTTTCCTGGATCTGGGCGTTTTTTTTAAAAACATTATCATCATGCTTTAAACAACTATCTTTCCAAGTGAACACAGCAATGGGGAAAAGATATCCTACTCTTAACTGGCTGGGAAGAATACTAGGGAAAAAATCTTGCACAGCTAACATTTTTCATATTTGTTAAGTATGTTTGCTCAGTAAGCCAGACATTTTATTGTGTCCTACACTACTATAGTAGAATTACTCTGATATCTTTCTTACCATCTCATGAATCATTTTATGAATTACCTGCTTCATCAGTGAGACCATAATAATGATGAACGTACCTGTATATTTATAGAATCAGAGAATCAACTAGGTTGATAAAGACATATAAGATCACCAAGTCCAACCGTTACCCCAGGGCTGCCAAGCCCACCACTAAACCATGTCACTAAGGGCAAACTGATCTCCCTTCAAGATCTCCCCTTATGGCTGCCCCTCGTGATCTCCACTCACAGCCACCCCTCATCTGCACCCATAGCGGCCCACATTGTCTAGGTGCCACCCCTGCCACCCATGGCCACCCCTCACATCCCACGGCTGCCCTTGCTCTCGCCTCACAATCTCCCCTCATGGCCACCCCTCCTTTCCCCCCACAATCTTTCCTCATGGCTGCCCTTCCTCTCCCCTCATGATCTCCCCTCATGGCTGCCCTTCACCCCTCATGGCCACCCCTCCTCCCCCATCACAATCTCCCCTCATGACTGCCCATTCCTTCCCCTCACAATCTTCCCTTATGGCCACCTGTCCTCTCCCCTCACAGTCTCTCCTCATGGCTGTTCCTCCTCTCCCCTCATGATTTCCCCTCATGTCCACCCCTCCTTTCCTCCCTTCCCCTCACAATCTCCCCTCATGCCTACCCCTCCTTTCCCCTCACAATCTTCCCTCATGTTCCCCCTTCACAATCTTCCTTCTTGGCCCCCCTCCTTTCCCCTCACGTTTTTCCCTTATGGTCACCCCTTTTCCCCTTCATGAACCCCGCTCATGGCTGCCCTTCCTTTCCCCTCACAGTCTCCCCTCATGGCCGCCCCTCCTTTCCCTTTATGATCTTCCCTCATGATCTCCCCCCACGACCACCCTTCACCCCTCATGGTCACCCCTTGGCTCCCCTCGTGTTCAACAGTGTTTAAATTAAGATTGTCCAATTTTCGTGCAGCAGCCACATGTACGCGCTGCAGAGCCTGTTTCCAGCTCTCCACCTGTAACAAGGGTTAACAAAGAGCTGTCTATTACACATACTCCCTTCCCCACCCCCTGTGCTTCTACAGGCTCCTCTGCCTCTTTTTGCTTCTCCAACTATACAAACCTCACCTACTTAGCTACAAGGCCAGATTACCAGCAGGGCAAGCCTCCTTTCTGCACTTCATGGAGGTGGGTGTTCAGCATGTGGGGGCCAGGATCCAATCCTCTCCAATGCTCCATTTCCCTCTGTAAAGCAGGGAAAGAAAATGCTCCTTCCAAGAGACTCTGGCAGACTTAGTCTGTAAGTGCTTGTAAACCACTTAAGTAGTAAGTAAGTGATACAGAAATCCAACAGACATCAACTATTTTTTGCTTAGGGAGCGGCATTGTTAATTGATGGGCACCCTCTATGTTCTATGTGTTTCATAGAACCTTCGTTACTGTTCATTACTACTAAACACTGCTGGACTAGAGCAGAGTTCAGGTCTGTTGGGTGCTGCTGCTGCCTTAGTGGCAATTAACATGGCTGTGAATACAGTAGACTGCACTTTATTTTTAATGACTCCATTTGGTCTAGCTCAGGAAAGTTTTACAATTAGTATGTAAATGTAAGCTCCCAGTTTCTGATAGCTACAGAAATACAAGCTAAAATCAGATCTCTGTGTTTAATGACCTAAGGGAGTATAACACAGTCACAGCCGTATAACCTTGCTTTCCATCAGCAAAAAATAATTGAATAACCAGTATGAATGAATTCATTATTGACTCTGGAATATAGATGACAGCAAGGCAGAAGTCTCTTGAGTGGTTCTGTTCCTTGTTTTACTCATTACCAGTTTACTAGACAGTAATTTTCCTGAATGACTGTGGAAGGTGGTGATAGCCTTAGGTGCAGAATGGATTTGAGAGTGAGAACCACATCTAAATAAGGAGAAAAAAATGGGGGATAAAGGGCATATGGAAGTACTGGAAGTGGATTTACTATTTTAGCGTTGTACCAAGTGTTGTCCCTTACGCTTAAATAGAATTTCATTTATAGTATCAGCTGAATGGCTATGATTTCACTAGTTCAGCAGCAGATTCTACCTGTAGAACCTTTCCAACCTCTGCTCTGCTCTTTTTTGTTTAAAATTTCAGGACAGGTACAGGCTGTATGGGTTTATTTTTCTAGCTATCAGACATACATTCGAAAGTGGAAAAAATTGAAGATTCCTAGTATTTCTTGATAATAGAAACTTTGCACAGAAATGCTCATCTTTCATGATATTCATAAAATGCACGGAGCAAATTTTATCTGCAAGTGCTTATGGGTCTCAAGGACACAAATCCATACACTCTCTGTTTATCAATACATTTTACAATTTATACATGAATATTTGATTATTCTGATCAAACATAGAATTCTAGGTAATTATTAGTTTATTTAAGCCAAAGAAACACATTGAATTAATGTCTTCACTATTTTTTTCATTGATTGTTTTCCATATTGGTATAGATGCTTATCTTTTGTAGGAAGAGAGGAAGGGACCGTGGTGCTTACCATAGAAGTGACAACAAAGAGAGAGGGAAGTTATATACTGGAGCCTTCCTAGGCTCCAAGATAACTTCAGCCATTTGTTGCCCCCCAAAGCAGTAGTCTGCTCTTCCTCTCAGTTTTAGCAGCTTGTATCACTCCTCTGGTACTGATACTGATCCTTCCTTCAGTGTGGGTGTTTTTGTGGCTGGGCACCTGCTGTTGGAAAATGAGCTGGATTAAAACTAGCTCAGGAAAAAAATGTAGTAAAAACAGGTGAGAAAGCGTGGCTGGGAGAAGTGGAAGGATTACTTCAGTCTCCATTTGTATTTATGTATGTGAACTTCATATGTTTATAAAAAAGTTTATATTTTTGGTGCCAATATATTCTTGCTGCAACTTAACAAAGTAATACAGTGGCAAAAGTGAAGACTGTATTAAAATACATCACTGTTTTGCTGTGTGATCTTAAGCAAGTCTTTTAGCTATCTCGCACATCAGCTTCAAACTGGATGTTACTGAAAACCAGCTGTTACAGTTGCATTTTTTTGGACTCCAGATAGGTTTTGTGCTGTCTGCTAATGTTAGCACGTTTTCACTTTAAAAGCGCTGTAGCCTTACCTGATACATTGTGTACAGTTGAGGCTTTGCATTGCCAAATTCCCCTTGACAGGCTGGGTAACCTACCTTTGCATGTAGGTTGCAACAGTCAATAAAAAGCAATGAGAGAAATAGCTGGTAGAGGACAGTGGGGTCACTGGTTATATGTAGGAAGAGTTGCTCCAAAAATAGAGCCGTATTTGGAGGTGAATAACCTTAGTCTATTTCAGGGCTATTGAAGGAGGTCTCTTTCTTTTTTTATCTCCCAGAAATGGAAGAATATTGCTGAATAAGGAATGTCTGATCCCATTTGCTTCCTAGCTGCCAAATCATGAGTACTTGGAATCAGCCTGTGTCCTTCAGTGCACATAGCTTATTGCACAGGCCTATTAATTCATTCTTCTTTCCATTGTATAATTTTGCAATATAGCTGGGTTTTCAGAGATTCATTGTTTTATAACAGTTCTGAAAATTAAGTGTGCAGTATGTATAACTATTAACTTAAAAGCCATTTCTTCCTACATGCCTGCAATGAAAAATAGTCTCTGAATAATGAATATTATTCCAGTATTTGATTTATGTCTGAAAGTAATTTTACAGAATTGTTATATATCTTGTCTAAAGTACCTCTTGTATATTTTCTGACTCATTTCTGCTTAACATATGCAGTAGGGCATGTTGAAATGGAGGTGAGTGAAACTGATATAACCCATAAAAATAGATGAATGGTGTTAAGCCATTTTATTCAGGCATGTAATCACAAGCTGTGGTATTCCTTCAGCCTTCACATCGTTCTTTCACGTAAGCATGCTACCATGTGGCTGGATTCAAGTAAACAGTTCCCCAGTGCCTTTCACTAACCATGAAGACAGTTGATACTGCATTTGAGCAGACCTGTTTTTCCTGGGCCCTTTACAGCTTCAGGAGCCTGCTGGAGTTTTTACTTATCATAAGCTGTGGATTACAGGAGGGAGATAATCCTCTCACCTATAGCTACTAGAAACTATGCTGCCTTGAGGAATTTACAGATCACTTCCAGCTTGTTCATTCTTATGCTGTGCTCCTGTAAGCAGTTGCTGCAGATGCAGCACTAACAGTACAGTTGTGAGACGTGTGCACTGTCTTACCTCTCCAATTATTCAAGAAAAGCCCTTTAATAGCAAGATGTAAATTTTGAAAGTGTTTATTGCAAGCCATATGACCCATGTCATTTAGCTTTCACTGTGATGAAAATAAAGCCAAAGGCTCCTCTAGACATTCCCCCTCTGCTTTATTGTGTTTGAGAAGGAAGGGTAATTTTGTTTAGCAAGGGTGACTGGATTACAGGTGCCTTCGACTTCTAGGTTTTTAGTGTCATCAAGGTGGCTAAACATGTGCAGAGCACTGTGACACAGTGGAGAAAATGGGATTTGATTTCTTTGAAATTAGAAAAAAAATTGTGATTCTTTCCCTTTGAGGACAATTTCCAGAAAACCGATTCAATTCTGTTTTATTTTTAAGACTTGGAAGGTTTTGACTCTGTAATACCAATTGCTGAGAAGCTTAATCATCCAACTACAACTAGACCAAAAGCTACTGGCAGGCGACCACCCTCCCAGTCTCTCACGTCTGTAAGTTATTTTTCCATTTCTTTTAAAAATATTTTTTTCTGATTTTTCACCCCTCCCCCCATTCGTGTTCCCTGGTGGTTTACTACGTTTCCACAGCCATTCCTGCACACGTACAGTGAGGCAGAGAAACACAGCTCAGGAAAATTAGTGTTGAAAAGCTGCCAGTGTTCTGAATACTGATGTTTAAAACATTCCCTCCCTTATAAGATTTGTACCCCCTTATTTGGGTGCTGCCAAGTATTCCTTGCCAGCCATGATTGAGGCCAGAAAAATCCTTTATAAAATCTGTGGAATAAACTAGTTTGTGCTAAGCATTAAGGATTTTGAAAATGTTTCCCAAAAGAAGCAATTCTTTTAGTTTCTCTAGGACGTTTACCAGATTTTGAGCACAAACAGACCATTTCAGCCTTCGACAGCTCTCCTTGAGCCATCATGGGTTTAGCTCACAGTCGTACATATAACAGTGATTTAAATTTCACACTTTAATATGTGTCTTTGGACAAGTTGATCTCATAAACCATACTTGAGAAACCACTGCTTAGGTTTTTTAGTGTCATTTTCCTCAGGGTTTGTTCATTTCTGTGCTTTTTCGCATTCTGGAATATCAGAATGACAGCTACTACTGATGGTTGCCCGTGTTCATGTTGCTGAAGAAAAACAAAGTGGAGGGAAACAAAAAGGATTATTGTGAAACTGAAGGAACACATAAAAGAAAGCTTTCAAAATTGACTATGTATGTAAATATAGAAACATAAAAGACAACTGAAAAGGTTTTTCTTCCCCTGTCAAATCTACAGGGAAAGGACCAAGGGGTGGAAAGAACCTTCCCTGTTTGCACCTTTATAAAGAGGCCATGAACAAGGCAGCTCTGCAGCACCAGCAGTGTGCATGGGCAGCAGCATAGGTCCTTTGAAGGGCAGCAGAGTTGAGACCTTCACTGAGCAAAGACATGGTAGAGCTGCCCGGGTGTCAGAGTTGACATCACTACAGCATGGTGCTCAGTGTCCTAGCCAAATAAGCTCTTCTTGTGGACAGGAAGGTGTTTTCTTTTTACAATATAATGCAATGCAAAGATGTAAATTAATAGTGAATTCAATTCTTAAGTGTATTTTATTTCATGAATGCTTGCAAAGCATTCTAGCCTTGCAAATAAGATGTAAAAAAGAAGGGGTGGGAGGAGAAAGAGTCCTGGTTTTAAGTACGGTTACTTTGAAAATTATAACCAAAAAAAAACCCAGTAATTCATCACATAAACACTTTTCTTCTTCCTTTGTCAAATTATTGTATGGTGAAAATACCTGCTTTATTTTTTTTCCCTCTCTTGTGGTGTGTGTGTGTGTATACACAGTCATCCCTTTCAAGCCCTGATTTCTTTGACTCCCCAAGTCCTGAAGAAGAGAAGGAGGAACATATTTCCATTACTCAGAAAACTATTGAAGTATCAAGGAAATCAAGAACTGTTACAATATCACAAGTAAGTTAATTGGAATGTGTCTGCTTAACTTTATCATGTGCATATTCATTTTTTTAAAACAGTATTAAAATATTTATTTTCAAATTTTAAATCAACACTCACCTGGTAACTAGCCTTTAAGGAAGCTTGAAATGGTAAAGGTTGCTAAAGATTGTTCTGTGTTTGGAATGAATTGCAGAGTTCAAATATCTCCATAACCATACTGTGAAAAAAAAACCTTCTAGTGTAAATACATTTCACAGAATAAGAGAAGCTAGGGAAATAAATTTTAGAAACATAGGCCTTTAGGGCAGCTGTAAATTGAGTTTACATTAGAAGAGTTTGTAAGGAGAGTAAATGCAACTCTTTGACCCACTCTAATAGTACAGGAATTTAAATTTGCAAGTATGATCACTTTTTATACTGGTATAATTATATTTATTTTATCAGCTTGTGCCATTCTTACTGTATTTTGGTAGAAAACTATAGTATAATCGAATATTACAGAAGGAGTGGGTAGATCAGGCTTTAGAGGTTGGAGCTATTTTTTAGTACATAAGGATATCTTTAATAATACAAGTAATACATTATAATAGTATAACAAAAGTATTTGAAAGATGAAGTCATGCACTTCTGTGACAAAATTATAAGGATAATGTTTTGCTATATGGCTCCCTCTTCTGGGAGTATTTGCATTAGGGAATATTCAGGCCAACATTTATAAATTACATGTTTGTGCCAAGGATGTAGATGATGCTCCTGTAAAACAAGATGACTGCTGTCAGAAAATAGTTGCTTAAGCCTTTAATGTTGATAGCCAGTTAAGCTCTGGAACAAGGTGTTCAGTGTGGATGATTCCGGTTGCGCCTTGCTCACTTTGCTCTGGGTTTGAACTCAGCCTGACATCTCTTTCAGTGAAAAGGAAACTTGCATCTACTGATATAAGGATTATTATCCATAACAATCTGCTTATAGGTACTCCAACATGCACACATATATATAAAATGTTAAAAGAGTATTATTAAGGTCATGAAGTCAAGCATTCAAGCCACTGGAGTGATTCGGCTTTCTTGTGATTATGACACCATTTTCATTTCTGTGGTCACACCCTTTTTTTCTGCAGAACACCTTTTTATGCAGTGCTTGCCTGGGACAGGTTCTGTGCTCAATTGTGTTCCTGTAGTGGGGAAGACTGTTTTTTACAGAAAAAAACAGTCTTAGTGGATCCTGTTCTTCCTTTCCTATCACACTTTCTCCTAATTTTCATCTGACCAATTACTTTTCTTTCAGTTACTTTGTCCAGCTAATGCCACTGCCCCAGTCCACAAGTCCTTACTTATAATGTCTCTTTCCATTTCCATACTGGTTTTTCTCAATACATTACCTTGTTTGCCACTCAACTTCAGTGTCTCTTTGCCCAGGATAGAGTTGGAAGGTTGCCTCATGCTTTTTCTTACTCTTGGCCAAATCAGATTTTCAGATACTCCTGGTAGCTGTCATATAATGCATACATTAGCAGTGCCAAATAGCAACATGATAGTTAAGATTCATCTTACTTGCCATTGTGATAACTGCACTTCTACGCTGTTCTATGTATGCAGTGAAGTAGCTGGTCATGTCTGGTAGGTGGACTTTAGATTTTTCTGTACCTTGTCTAGTAAGTAGAGCACTGGATTGCAATCCAAGAAGTAGGGGATCCTTATGAGCTAGCTACCTGGTTCCAAGGTAACTAGGTTAAATCTGCATTTTTCTGTTAAGTCCCTAGAGGAACAAAAAGCCATTGGTAGGTATGAGGATTCATACCTACCATATGTAACATAAACAGAAGCTTCAGTGAACAAAGGACAGTACAATGCATTTATTTCTTATTAATATATTATCATCCTGAAGCCATGGGATTTTGTTTTACTTTTTGTATCATACTGATAGCAAGCTTACAGAATATTTTGATATTTTCATAACAGTAAGAGTGACATGTAATAGTTTTTTTCATTTTTATAAAACGTGGGTGTGGAAGATACCTTCAATTGTTAGTTGACAATCATAAATCTAATCTGCAAAAAAATACAACTTGGATTCTTGCCCATGCAGTTTTGAGCTCTCCAGGAGGCATCCATGGATGTAGGTATGTTCTCAGAAATGTCTGAGGGAAACGCTGAGCATCCGTCCCTGGTTCATTTCACTGCTAGGTCTGAGATCTCAGAAACACTTGTTATTGACTGGTTGTAGCAACTGTGGAAAGCCTTACTGAAGCTGCCTGAACTTCTGCATCCCAACTATACCCCCTCAGATGTACATGTACAGAGATCATAGAATAGTTAGGGTTGGAAAGG